CTTTCCCGGAGCCAACAACTCCAGCAGACCTTGAAAACCCAGAAGCTTCATTTTAATGGCTTCATGCGGCCATGTTGGAGCACAGCGTGGAAACCAAAGCCAGATGGTGCTGTTCCTGTCTTTGTTGTCCCGTGAATCAGACGAGCAGGCCCTGAGTCACCCCTCAGCGGGAGCCGTCCTGGCTCCCTGTCTGGCCCCGTCTCAGGTTCATGAGTCACTCGGGCTCGGACGAAAACATATCGTACCCTTGGCGTGACTCACCCTAAAGGATGCCTGGCAAGATGGAGGTGTGAGCATGACACAGACTCCACAAGAAATTCCATCACTGCCTTCCAGAATAGCTATGCTCCAGGGGACAACAGTTTGCTTTGCTTTCATCATTATTATTTTAGGTTTTTCCCATAGCGCACATGCATTCTCTGGGGGAGGGGGGGAAGGAGAGAGAAAGAGAGACATCACCCCCCAGGGAGATGGCCACACCACAATCCCTTCTCCTCCATTCTCCTCTCAGGATTTTGGGCACATACACATGCTCAGTGTGATTTTTCAAGCCACTGGGTCCAGGACTCAAACTATACCCAGCCTTGTGAGATCCAGTGGCCTTAACCACCATGCCATCTGGTGGCCCCAGAGACAATAGTTTTGTTTTGTTTTCTTAGTTTGCTATAGAGCACATGTGCTCACCAGGAAGAGAGAGAGAGAGAGGGAGGGAGAGAGAGCCACCAGGTCTGAGACTCGAACTGTGGTTGGCCATGAGGGATCCAGCTGCAATAATCATGCCACAGACTGGCCCCGGGGACAATAGTTTTTAATTTTTTAAATTTTATTTATTATTATTTTCATTTGCTAGAGGGCACATGTGTTCACCAGAGAGAAACACAGAGAGAGAGAGAAAATGAGACAGCAAGTCACCAGATCTGGGACTCAAACTCTGGCCAGCCACGTGGGATCCAGCTGCTTTAACGTCCCTGCCACCTGCTGGTCCCCAGGGGACAATAGTTTTTAAAAGACTGGGAGGGGGCCAGGCAGTGGGCCAGTTGTAACCCAACAGGACCACATGGAGAAAGTCCTGGATCACATGCCAGGCCTCCCTAGACGTACCAGGCCAGTCCATATGTCCATGTTCTGGGGGGCTGAGACTAGGCGTGGGTCACAGCATGGACCCTCTGTCAAGGGTCTCCCTCTGCCTCATTCTCTATTCCTCATGGAAGATATAAATGAGCACACTTGGAAGGAAAGATATCGGAAGGAGATATGAGACAAGCTTGATGACATGAACTATATCAATAAAGGAGGAGCAGGGATCAGCAGGTAGCATGGTGCTTAAGGCTGCTGAACTCCCACATGGCCAACCATGGTTCGAGTCCCAGACCTGGTGGCTTGCTTTCTCACTTTCCCTCTCTCTCCCTCTCTGTATGGCTCTCCAGTCAAATCGAAATACATGAATGAATAAATAAAACTAAATAAAAAATAATTCTTTAAAATGAAAATAAATAAAGGAGGGGGAAGACACAAAGAGACTGGGTAATGATGTAACGACCCCTGACCGTAGCAGAGCTAGTGTGGGGTGGTGCTTTTCAGGGAGGGATCCCCTAGCTGGGTCTTAGTCTCTGTGTTTAATGATCCTGTGTGTCGTGAGGAGATACATTTCAGTCCCTACGAAAGTAGTGCGGTTAGACATAAGGACTTGTCCGGCTGTCAGATTTAAAAGTCACGACCACGGAAACTTCCGGAAGCCTGGGAGACAGCTGGTTTTGTGCTGCTATGCTCGGACAAATTTTAATTGTTACGGTTGTGGAATTGCAAAGACTACCAATAACAGTTTTTTAATAGCTATAAGGTGTGTACACTCACTGGAGAGAGACAGAAAGACAGAAAGCGAGAAATCACCCTCTGAGGGGATGGCCATGCTGCAATCCCTTCTCCTCCATTCTCCTCTCAGGACCTTGGGCACGCACGCACACGCGCCCGGCATGGTTTCCAAGCCACTGGGTCTGGGATTTGAACCATGCGGTTGGCCGGATGGGATCCAGCTGCCTTCACCTTTGCCTCATCTGCAGGCCTGAACTTTATTGACTTAAAGGACACTATTTTGCTTTCCAGTTGCATATTCTTCAACAGTGACGGTCACACATCCACAGAGGAATCACCCGCCAACACTGGAAAGACACGCAACATCGAAGGGGAGACAATCTAAAAGCCACCAGGCGAAACTAAGAGAGAAAAGACGAGCTTTGTGGACCTGGATGAGAGGACTCGGACCACACACGAGGCTCACTTACTTCCGCCGTTGTCAGGATGTCCAGGTTGGGGTGGATACGGTGGTTTCGGGTAGATTCCTGTGGGTCGACAAGCACAGGGCATGGTGAAAGGAGAAATATCCCTTCCCTTCGGAGCCCCCTGCAAAACGCATGCGTCCACTGTCTACCGATTCTACGTGTCCACCTCGTTTGCTCCTCTGCATGTCTTTATGGATGACCATTGCCTGGTAAGACAATTACTTAGCCACCCCACGGGAACAGCTAGAGTATTAAAAAAAAAATAAAAATACAGAGTATGCCAGCAGGTGGCATGAAGTTTAAGGGGCTGATTCCACCGGACTGGCTGCATGGTTCGAATCCCAGACCAGGCGAGTTGAAAACCATGGCGGCTGCATGCTGCCTGCATGCCCAAGATCCTGAGAGGAGAGTGGGGGAGAAGGGATAGTGGCACAGCCGTCCCCCTGAGGGTAAGTTCTCACCCAAGAGGAGAGCAGAAGAGAAAGGATTGTGGTGTGGCCATCTGCCCTGAGGGGTGATTTTTCACCTTCCCTCTCTCTGTTTTTATGCAAGCACATGTGTCCCATAGCAAAAATCTCTCTAAAAACAAAACGAAACCAATCCAGGCTAAACTCCTAGGAATAAAAAGGTGAGGAGCTGGACTAGAGGAGCCTAACCACACAGGAAGAGCTCTCACCTCCACTGTTGTCTGGACGTCCAGGTTGGGGTGGATATGGCGGTTTTGGGTAGATTCCTGGGGGGCCAACAACAACAATGCATGATTAAAGGAGAAATATCCCCTTCCCTTCAGAGCCCCCTGCAAACGCGTGCCTCCACTGTGTGCTGATGTCACGTTCCCGTCTTGTTTGTTCATCGGGGTGTCTTCATTGATGACCGTTGTCTGGATAACCATCAGTGCACCACCCGCAAGACCTCAAGATTGAAAACTTAAAAAGAAAAAACAAAAACAGCTTGGGCCAGTAGGTGGGGTGTAGGCATAGGTGCTGCATTCCACGTGGCTGCATGATTCGAGTCCCAGACCACAGCTGAGAACCACAGCAGGCACATACACGTGCATGTCCAAAACCCTGAGAGGGGAATGGACGAGAAGGGATTACGGCATGGCCATCGGCCCTGAGGGCAGGTGCCATGACCACCACGCCAAGGCTGGCCACCACCCATCGTGTCTGTAGCATCTGTCCCTCTTACACTCCACCTGTAATATGCCAGTGTTCCCACCTCTCCACACCCCTGCTGACGGTCATTACTTTCCTAGTTTTTCATCTGATTCTCCCAGCGCACCGTCTCTGTGGTCCTGACTTGCCTTTCCCTAAGGACTCCGGGTGGCTTTCAACATTGGCTAAGTGGTCCGTAGCTGGCATCTCTTCAGACACTCCACAGCCTCGGGGAGCATCTTCACTCACTCCTTCAAAAACATCATTTCAAGGAGGACCAGCAGGAGCTGAGGAGGTTAAGACCCTGGATTCTCACTTGTGTCTCTGTGGTTCGAGTCTAGACCCAGCAACTTGAAATACATGTGCAATGCATGTGTGTGCGTGTCCAAGAGAATGGAGGAGAAGGGATTGCAGCATGGCCATCTCCCCCGGGGGTGACTCTTCACTTTCCCTCTCTCTGTCCCTCTCTGGCAAGCACACACGCCCTATGGCCAAAACCCAAAAACAAACAAACAATCAAGCACAGCCTTTCAAAGGCATTGGCACAGTTCTGCCCTAACGGCATCTCACCTGAGCTCGGTTTCTTGGTGGGTTCTGCGAACAAAGGGAGAGAAAAACATTTATGAGCACTGAGGATTCATCCGTCACTCACAATAAAAGACATCAATACCGTTATGAAAAAATACAAAAAGAAAATGTCAACATACTAAAAGTGAAATGATCTACCGACAAGAGGGCTGGTGTTTGGGGAGTGCTGGAGACGTGGCCCCATTACTTGGAACTACAACGGACTCAAACGATTAAAAAAGGGGCAGAAAAGATGGAGAGGGACTCCCTGCTTCTTAAATGATGCCTTTTCTCATCTTCCTTTAATCATTCATTTATTCACTCAACAAACATGTATGAAATGCTCACCAGGGCCAGAGAGTGTATGCATCAAAACATCCGGGCAAGCGATTGCCATGTGGCAAGGTCAGCATTCCTGAGAGTGGATGTCAGGTGGGGCGTGCTCAAGGTGCAGAACACGTATGCTCTGTGACAGTCTGGGTGTGCGGTGCAGGTGGACAGAGCTGGGCAGAATGAGTGTCCGGAAAGACGGACAAGCTGAACACGCAAAGGTCCTCTTGGAATATTGTCACTTACCAGGGTCATCGAGGGCATCTGCCAAGTCAAAGTCTCCTTGACCTGTCGGGAGCAAGCAGGGCATACGTGACGTCATGATGGAAACCTCAGGGTCCCTTGGTTCCCATCTCATGCCATCTCCCTGTCTTCCAAGCAGGGGTCTCTCTGAGCTCAGGGATCGAGGACCAGGTGGCAGGTTCAAAGTCCCCCAGAATCAGTTTCTCATTCTCATCCCCCCAAGCGTCTCCCCGGGCAGATCCCAAACTAATCTCTTCCCTTTCACAGAACACAAGTGTCCCTTAGGGAAGAGACTGCCTAAGAGAGATGACATCACCATCTTGCTGAGAAGGAAGAAGGGGCCTTCTGCTTTTGTTTCATTTTCATGTTCGCCAGGGCCAGACAGAAAGAGGCAGAGAGAGGGAAAGTGAGAAATCACCCCCTCAGGGGGGATGGCCACGCCGCTCTCCCTTCTCCTCTGTCCTCCTCCTGGGATTTGGGGCATGCACGCACACGCACCTGGCATGAAATTCAAGCCACCAGCTCTGGGACTTGAACCGCGGTCAGACATGTGGGAGTCCAGCACCTTAACTGCTATGCCACCTGTGACTCTCAGAAACAAGCTTTTCCTTTTCTGTAAGGATATTCCTTTTTTTCTTCCATGAGTGAGAATGTCAGAGAGAGAGAGACAGAGACACAGGGATGCCGTTATCCTTGGGTTATGGGCATGTGTGTGCCCGGCAGGCTCTGGAAGGTCCAGACAAGAACCTAGGTCCTTCCCATGGGGTTCAAGACTCTCAGAGTATGGCTTTATCACTCCACCACTGCCCGCTCATCTAAAAGCACTCCATTTTGGGTGGGGAGAGGGGGGAGAGATTTTTGCTATAGCGTGTGTGTGTGCTAGCCAGAGAGATAGAGAGACAGAAGGAGAGACATATCTCCCCCTGGGGGCGGGTGTTGGCCACAGTGCAATCCATTCTCCTCTGGGGATTTGAGGCATGCATGCACACATGCACGGTGTGAGTTTCAACCTACCAGGTCTGGGACTCGAACTGTGGTCAGCTACATGGGAGTCCAGTGACATAATCACTAGAGCAGCAGCTGAACACTTTGGACACTGTCTTCGGAGCCATTCGGCAGGCAGGAAGCAGCCTCAGCCCCCTGGATTCCTGCATCTCCATACCAGGGGTGCTAACGAGGTGCCCACACCCTCCCTCTGGTTTGGGTTCACAGACTCCCCACAGCTACGTGTCAGGGCACTGCACGCACCTCAGGAGCTGGAATTCCAAATTCTCAGATGGCCAACGACAGTCACCACATCGGACCTCGTTCATCCAAGCAAGTCCAGGATCCCTAAGCAATGGCTCTGCCATCTCCTCTGATGAGGGTGTCCTGCCCCTCCCGGCCATTGTCCCAGATCTCCAACAGCCCCTGTGCTGTCTCTCCTCCCGCCCTCCCTGAAAGGCTCTTGCACAATACACAATACAGGTAGGTGGAACCTGGCTGTTATCAGGAAGGAGATGCGCTTCTGCAGATAGGATCCCGCCCAGAGCTGGGGAGGCGGGCAGCCAGGGCCAGCTCCTGTTGCTCTGGAAATCACCTACAATGGGTTACTTCCCCATCCTAAATCATCCCGTGCCCTGCTCCTTCGGCCAGAGCCACCTCCAGTCGCTCTGGAAATCACCCAGGACGGCTTCCTTCCTCATCCTAAATCATCCCATGCCCTGCTCCTTGCACACGGGCATCTGCAGCATTGACGGCTCCAGATATCCTCCGAGGGGAGGCAGGAAGAGAGGAGAGGGCGCGGAGGAACTGAGCCTGTCGGTTTGCGGCTTTACAGGGTTTCAGGGTGCACTGCACACACCACTTGCTGTCGGCGTGACTCACAGCCACGGCAGGGTGCTGGGCTCACCCAGAATGCGTTACATAACCCGGGAGGACTCCCACATGGTCGACTGAGATCTGAGTCCCGGAACTGGTTTGAAAGTCACGCTGGGTGTGCATGCCCAAAATCTGAACAGGAGAATGGAGGAGAAGGGATTGCCGTCTGACCATTCTCCCCCTCCTCACCCCGGCGGGGGGGGATGATTTCTCACTTTCTGTCTTTCTGTCTCACCAGCGAGCACGTGCATCCTATAGCAAAAATCTCTCTAAAAATAAATAAATAGTCCTTTGAAAAGGAGAAAGAAAAACAGAGACACACGCTGAATGGCCCTTGGAAGAATTTTTCTGTCCCCTGGAGGAATCAAACCCTTATTAGGTTCAGATTTCATCCCTGCAAGATGCCGAGATGGTTGCTACAGGAGTTTTCTTCTCCTGAAGTTCTAAGTCTGCTCAGACCCACGGTCACGTTGGCAGACACCCGCTCGTAAGGCAGAGCTCAGCGCTGTTCAGGGCAGTAAGAGCTCCCCTGTGGAAGTCAGTGCCGATCCTCGATAGAGGTTCCTGGCCACCTGACAGAGCCATTCTGCAGGACGGGAGAGAGAAATGAACCCATGTCCAGTCCTCCACTCCCCCATGGCTTATTTACGTCTAGCTAAAAGAGGAAACCAGCCCCAGGGGGGCTCTGAAAAAGAAGGATAATAGAAAGAAAAAGCCAAAGATGGTGTGAGGCTCTGACACCAGCTCCTGCAGTTACAGCAGAACTTCCACACCTCCGAGTTGGACTCAAGGCTACTGCATCCCTCTGGGGACAGCAGCCACCCCGAGAATGCAGACAGATTCTTCTAATCCATGTTTCAGACCCACGCCCTTTCATCTGAGTCCACTAGAGAGACGTCTCCCTTTAAGGAGATTGTTTTTCATCACTTCTTTTAGGATTTCACTGGTTTCCTCCGAAGTGCGGGTAAATGTAAAGCGATCTTGCTGGTGTCAGCTGTGGCGGACTAAGCCATTCCTTGAGTCTTAAATCTACACAACACTCTTCTCCTTGAAGATCTCTCTGAAGACACCACCATGGGAGTTGTGTGGCTCACACGGGGACCCCACGGGGAACACATATGGACTCCCTTCGGGCACACGGTGAGGCTGTCCTTTGATTCGGGTTCAACAGCTTTTAAAAATATGTGTACAGGGGACCAGCTGTTGGAGTAATGGCTATGCCTCTGGACTCCCATGTAGTCGACTGTGGTTCAAGTCCCGGACCCGGTGGTTTAAACTCACACCAGGCGCGTGTGCGTGCGTGCCCAAGATCCCCAGAGGAGAATGAAAGAGAAGGAACTGCAGCATGGCCATCCCCCCTGGGGGGTGATTTCTTGCTTTTGGTCTCTCTGTCTCTCTCTGTCTTTCTGGCGAGCGCACACACCCTATAGCAAAAACCTCTCCAAAAGAAAAAAAAAAGGTAGAAAAACTATGTGTACAGAAAGTACAAGAAAACGGCTCTTCCCAAGAATAGTGCAACTCATGGAATAGAAAAAATAAATTAAAAAATAATTTTTAAAGTCAAAAAAGGTTGCACGGGGACCAGCAGATGGCATAGGGGTTACCTCCTTGCTGGACTCCCACATGGCCAACTGCAGTGTGAGTCCTGGACCCAGTGACTTCAATATCATGCTGGGCACATGTGCATGCATGCCCAAAATCCCAGGAGAATGGAGAGGGGATTGTAGTATAGCCATCCTCCCTGACGGGTGATTTCTCTCCTTCCTTCCAACTGTCTCTGTCTCTCTCTGGGGAGAGCACACTCCCTAAGGCAAAAAAATAAATTAAATCTCAAAAAAAAAAACAAAAACAAAAACAAAGACAGACAGAGAGAGACAGCTCTACACCTCAACATGAATATCCAGCACTTTGTAACTTCCAGGGGTTGCAGACCCTGAAGCTAAGCAGATAGCCCTCAGGCTCACAGATCCACTGTGGCCTCAGCCTCCAGGTGGTGAATGGATTTGTGGCCGTCAAGCCTCACCTAAGAAGGTCGACCAGTTGTCCCTGCTCTTGACTCCCCAGTGACCTCAGTATTGAGTTGCCCATGGAAGCACCAGGACACAGTGTCTGCAGAAGTGTTTTGTCATAAAGAGGAAAGAACAGCTGGCTTGTCCCACCCTTCTCAGAGTGACATAGATACCTAGATTCCCTGACACATGGGTGACTCGAAAGCATGCCTGTGGGTGGGTTCAAGACATGATGTTTCCCATCGAGTCTAAGAGGATGATCAGGTTTGAGATCTGTAGACCTCATTTTGCTCAACAAGAACTCGTATGAGTTTTCTAGGGCTTCCCTAAAAAAATGGCCACTTACTGGGGCCAGCAGTTAGCGTGGTGGTTGAGGTGCTAGACTCCAGCCTGGACTTAGCAGCTTGAAATTCAATTTTTTTGTGTGGGTGCAAGCTCAAAATCCCAAGAGGAGAATGGAAGAGAAGGGATTGTGATGTGTCCATACCCTTTGGGGGATGATTACTAACTTTCTCTCTCACTGTCTTTCTCTGGTGAATGCACGTGTCCTATGACAAAAACCTTAGACTGCGGTTCAAGCCCCAGACCTGGTGGCTTAAACTCATGCTGGGTGCGTGCGCGTGCATATCCAAGATCCCGAGAGGAGAATGGAGAAGAAGGGATCGTGGCATGGACATCCCCCCTGGCGGGAGATTTCTCACTTTCTGTCTCTCTCTGTCTTTCTGATGAGCACACAAGCCCTATAGCAAAAAACTCCCCCCAAAAAATTAAAAAACAAACAAAATGCAGAAAGTGCCTCCAGACGCAGAGGTATTTCAGGATGAAAAAATCTTCATTCTGGAACCCCACCCTGCTGTTGAGCTGGCAGTTCTGGCCACCAGTCCTGGGCCGTGGGTGAAAGTAAACAGGCTCTTTGGTAGAGGGGTCTGACCAAACGCCCACCAGGGAGTGCTAGATCCACGCAAAGCCTGGGTCGTCAGCCCAGAGCTGCTGCCTCAGCGATTCTCAGACCTGCGAAGAGCCTAGGAATGCTAAAGCATCTCTGGGTGGAGCTGTCTGCATTCCTCAACACGTCCTACAAAATCCTGAGGCTGCTGGTCTGCAGAAGCTCATGGTGTCCAGAGGAAAGCAATCTTAACTCTTTTTTTGTTTTCTTTTCTCTTTTCTCTTCTTTGA